AAGTTTCTGCATAGCATGGTTAAACATAATTAGTATCCCATTTGTTATATCGTAGTGTCACGGTGTTACTTTGTTAAATTTATTTAGTTTGTTAATGATTGTGTAAATAAGAACAAATCTGTATAAAAACTTCATACCATTTTAGTGATTGCCTATAGGCGTTTGATTATTGTTACATTTAAGATATATATATATACATTTAGAACCTTTCATACATCTTAAAGTAAAAGATGTGTGTCAGAGTTAAACGACACAAGAACCCTGTAATACTAGTACGAGAGTATGGCATGTAAAAATTCCTGCTCAATATGGATGTATTGGAAATCTTTTTATACAGATTGTCAACTCATGGTCCGACATGCATGTAATATTTTCCTCATGACGCTCATAGTTCTTTCTACCATCATCATCTTATTCATTAAATATTGCTGTAAACATCGATGGTCCACATCCAAACAAAATGGGAATAATATACCTTCAGATCTTCTCCGTGGTATACACTTGTGAAATATGTAGACGAAATTCGGTATTGAAGTGAATCTACATCTCACAAACACAATTTTTGAATTACGATTTTGAGTGAACACCCACCAAACCAATTCAAACGTATGGCAAGATGATAACCATGCAGGCATTTAGTTTTCATCAGACACAAGATAAATAATGACTCTCATAAACGTGTATATGCATGCAGTTTCAAATATCAAGAACAAGAGGTCGATGTCTTTAGATCATTGTTAAGTCCGTTTACTAACTGTTCAGAGTCAGACATGTCAATAGTTCATTCTTGGAACCTTCATATACCCCATCCGACGATGGGAACTATTTCTGATAGTGTTGACAACATAAGCTTGTTTATCTGTACAAGTGGTTGCATGGCCTCTCCTGCCCCAACAAACAAATACGCTACTAGTCTGCTATCTCTGGAGCTCATCCTCAATGGCGCTTATACGTCAGGAAACTTACAAGTATACTAGTAAAGATTGTTTCAAGAACAACGAGGTTGGGACGAACTGTTCTAAAATCGTCAATATCAGTAATACATTACTAAGATATGCCTTTAATTACAACAACTGTATTACTAATTTGGATTAATGACGGCTATCCTAAAAAAATCCTCAAACAAATTAATGTATTAGCTTAGATTTATAAAGTATGTATATTCATTAATGAAATAAACGATAATTGGTATTCTTTTCACAAATAATTTGTCTAAGTGATTGTCAAATGAATTTAACTATGTAAGATGAAATGTTAATAAGAAAATTAAAAAAAAATCATGCATGTTGTACTGTTGTATTTTTTCAATTAAAAACTTTAAAATTGCGATAGTTTTACGATTGTTAGCATTTAAACATCGCCAGATTTAAATACAAGTTAAAGAATTCCGGTAGAGTAAATTAAACAGATGTGCAATGATCATTAATTGGGAAATGTAACATTTAATTTTTAAGATTAAAAGTACTATTCTTTTAACTTCATATCTTAACTTAATGCTAATTGCATAGAACGTAACCGAAAATTGTTCCATTTTAATATTGTAACACTTCCGGAATTAAAAAGTTGAATGTTAGTTTTCAATTAATTTATACAATTTAATTATTTTTTCTCTATTGTCATCGGGTATTTCATCTGGGTATATTAATAACGCTATACTCTTTCTGTTAATCCATTCAAAATGACAATACTCACACCTGTGTACGCCTGAGGCTAAATTGCTGCAAGGTAAAGTTCAAACGAATTCTCCTCAAATCGAGAAATAAACAATGACTTTACAAAATTATATACACACTCTGTTCACAAATATTTTGCATTGAAATGGTTATCAAAGTTATAACGGTAAATAAAACTTAAAATATTTTCAGTTCAATATCAGTAAAAATGTTCAATAGATATTTTATGAAAAAATCTCAATAATTTATGAAATTAATTCGAAAATATTTATATTTAAAGATAACTTCATATAGGAAGTTTTATTCAATCAATACAAAACGGTACACACATATTCATTTTCTTTCATTCTTATATTGTGGTTATTAACTACGACCAACGGTCATCTGTGCGCTTTTAATTACGTAAAATTCTGATAAGCAATTAAGACTTTAACAGATTTAATTTTTTCCCATGATTCAACAATTCGGGTTAAAACGTCACAACCCAGTGACGTAGGTCAACCAAAAAAGTTACAAATACTTGATTTTCTCCGTTATTAGAAAGAATATAAATTTAAAACTTTGTGAATGTGTTTTTTATGTTAAGATGAACATATTTAGATGATAAGTAAAAAATCGCGGAGTTTCCTAAATTGTTTGCCCCATAACCCCTAATATGAATCCCAACCTTCTACTTGTGGTATTAAACATTGTTGTATAATTTCAGAGCAATCGAAATACGTATACACAAGTTGTTATCCTGAAACTAGAAAAATGTTTGTTTTGGGCCCCTAATTCCTAAACGGTTGGGACCATCATCCCCAAATTCATTCCCAACTTTCCTTTTGTGGTATTGAACCTTCTTAAACAATTTCATAGAGATCCATTAACTTAAACTAAAGTTATTGTCGGGAAACCAATGTGTCTTCGGACGACGACACAGACGAAGTAGATGACGATGACATCATACCATTATACGATCCCAAAAATTTTTTTGCGGTCGTATAAAAACAAGAATGTGTCCATAGTACACGGATGCCCCACTCGCACTATCATTTTTTTATGTTCAGTGGACCATGAAATTGGGGTCAAATCTCTAATTTGGCATTAAAATCTAAAATATCATATCATAGAGAACTACTGTGTACTAAGTTTTAAGTTGATTGGACTTTGCCTTCATCAAAAACTACCTTGACCAAAAAATTTAAACTGAAGTGGGACAGACAGACGGACATACGCAAAGACCAGTAAACATAATGCTCCTACTACTATCGTAGGTGGGGCATAATAATAATATATGATTTTTTTTTATCAATCATTAATGAAAGTGAAATAGTGAAATAATAATTCGCTTTTAGCAGCTAGTTTGGTTCAGTTTTGACAAAATAAGCAAAGAACCATCGCTAATGAATTATTCACTTGCAAGTGAATAATTCTACCTCATTGAATCCGTATTCATGTGACCTTCAATTTAACCCCTTTGCTAGAGATGGGTTACGCATGAGTTATGCGTGTTTGGTTATTAAATGGAAAAGAATGTCAACATTGAAAGTGAAACAAGGGTAAACCATTTCATTGACTAATTTGATCCACAAAAACTCATTCTTATACAGGTAAAAACGATGATAAACATATATTTTTTGACCTATTATATGAAATCAAACAGACCTAGAAAAATCCAATTGCATGAGTTCACTATCTTTTATATCTATATTTATGTTTATATCTTGTTAAATGACCGTAGGCAGTCTTCGAGGTCACCTTGATACTGTGGATTCATTTATTTTCATGGGTACCAATTTTCGTGGATGAAGGAAAACTTGCGTGTTCGTGGATATTTAATTTCGTGGTTTTGACGATGTCTTCATACAAGCCTTTAGAAAATTTGTCATTCGTTGATCTTTTAATTTCGTGGTTCACCGATACCCACGAAATCCACGAAAATTGGTATCCAACGAATAATAATGAATCCACAGTAGTAAATTAGATGGCGTCTAGAATAAATTACACACGAAATTCTGATACATATTATCAATCCCATGCATTGTAAATTGTTTATTTTAGACATATTATAATTTGGATATACCTTTTAGTATGTTATAAGTCAAATATGAGAATTTGAGTCAAATCAGTCGACATGAATTTGACAGCTAATGCCCCTTTAACTCAAAATATGGATAAGATTATGTTAAAACAAAAGGACATGAAACAATCTCACTAAAAACAATTGTAAAAATATCTAGAATTGCAAATATTTCTGTAAAGATTCATTAGGTTTGGTATACTTTTTCACAATCAAAATTAAATTCTAATCCAAAATATGTTAACCAGTCTTCGTTAAATACACATTTATGCTGTCTCCATGGCAACAACAACAATTTTGAGAATTTCAGAGTCAACACATGTAATTTTATGGTAAAGTTTCATCAACATTATTCCAGTTATTCTCTATCTAGTATGGTTTTCAAAATATATGACATTTACTTGCACTTTACCCTTATGTTATATTTTAAGCCATGGTATTGGCAGGATAATATACTGAGGATCGTTCAGCACAAGTTTGGTTGAAATTGGTTTCAACAGATAAGACTTTTGAAAATTTAAACGACGATGACAGACCACAACTGATGGCAATAGCTCACTTGGTCCATAGGGCAGGTTGACTGTTCAACCATTGACATCAGATGTCAACCTAAGACAGAAAAAGATAAAAAAAGTATAACTACAAAGCAAACATGATTGGTTTAACTGGAAAATACTCAATTTTGACTAGGATTTTTTTTTTTTAAAGCTTTGGTATTTTTTCTCTAACATGCATTATTTACTACAAAAATAATATATTATATTTGAAAAATTAGCTGTTACGACTTTTTCAATGCAGAATTTAAATATTTTCCAAGATTGTAAAGCTCTTTGATATTTCCTATAGATAACAATTAAATCATATCTAAATATTTTGTCCATTAAATTTGAAATAACAAAGTATTATAAATCTATCAAATTAGACCTTCAGATGTTCTCAAGGCAGGATTGTCTGGCATGTTTGCTTTATGCCTTCAAACTTCCTGCATGTTAGAGAAAAAATACCAAAGCTTTAAAAAAAAATCCTAGTCAAAAGTCTAGCATCTCTATGGCATTAAGGACATGTACAAGTCAGAAGGTTTTTTTTGTTTTTAAGTAGAATAATTATGTTTCAAAATATTAAAAAAAGATAATGGTAATAGTTGTTAGATTGATTTTTCAATGTGCTCAACCTAATTGGAAAAGAAAAGTAACTCGAACTTCACATTAGTGTGAGATTAAATAATTTCAGAGTTGTCTTTCTTAGAACCCATTAAGTGTACCTACCTATGAAATATACTACTGATACAGGCAATGTCATTTTTGGCATTTTATATCCTAATCCTTCAAACTGAAGATAGAAAAAAATAGATATTAAGTTTGTGTCATATTTAAATATTTTGTCCATTGAAATAACAAAGTATTATAAATCTATCAAAATAGACCTTTCCATGTTCTCTGGCATGTTTGCTTTATGCCTTCAAACTTGCTGCATGTTAGAGAAAATTGCCTAAACTGCTAAAATAGGCACACTTTTAGATCATTCAATTCTATTTCAATATAAGCAACATCCTTATCCAAACATTTCCTTTGCCATACGTTTTATTATTCATAGGTATTGATACAATTGAATTTTTAAGTTAATCCTGTTGGTCATATTAAATTTTATAAAAATGCTTTTATTTCCGTAAGCAAATACAGCCTCATCAATGTATATTCAAAACAAGCAAAGTTTAAATACTTTATGAATTTAGTAAATTACAAAAATAAATATATTATATTTGAAAAATTAGCTGTTACAACTTTTTTAATGCAGATTTTAAATATTTTCCAAGGTTGTAAAGCTCTTTGATATTTCCCATAGATAACAATTATACAAATTTAAATTTAATAAAAAAAAAACAAAAAAAAAATGTAAATTTATAATTATCATTTTAGATCAATTATGTCTAGAATGTCACAGCAACACCCTATTAACCATTTCAGCATTAGAATAACTATTGTAGACAATATAGAGCTATTAACATTATTTTGAGAGCATTAAGAATATTTATTTACACTTTTTGCTATTTCTATGACCAAATAATGGTGGTGCAGGTTCTATCATACCTCCTCCTTTGTTTTAGTAAGGTATTATTTGGGATGAATTCTAGAATAAACAAATAATAAGACAAATTTAACAAAACTTTTAAAAAACCTGACTTACTAATGGTCTGAAGAATTCAAAAGTATTAACTGGAGCACCATCAGAGAGAAAATATGCTTGTCCTCCCTGAAAATAAAGGATATGTAACTAAAGCAAGGCATATAAATAGTGATCTCAGGAATTTTTATAAAATTTCAATTGTAACTTAGGCACGGGGAGCTACGTTTGGACATTAAAAAATAAATGGAGAATGTGTCCATGTGACACAGATAATGTCCCCACTTGCATATAATGTTATAAAGGGACATAACTGGAGAACTGATAAAGTGATACCACCCAAATTGTAATTCAATCTGAGTTTTGTGGTGATAAGCATTGTCTATAAGTATTCATAACATTTGGTTGAGGCAAACTTAAATTAGAGAACAGAAACGAAAAATTCAGCAATTTTTTCATATATTAAGGGCATAACTCTAGAACTGTATAAGTGACACCAACCAAATTCAAACTTGATCTGAATTTTGTGTTAATAAGCATTGTGTTTAAGTTTCCTAACATTTGGTTGAGGCAAACTCAAGTTAGAGAATGTAAAGGAAAAATTCAGCAATTTTTCCATTTGTAAAGGGGCATAAAAAGATATACATAACTTTATAGAGACACAAATAACCAAAAAAAATCTTTAAATTTAGAAATAAATGTACAGAATGCACATAAAAGTTGTTTTGATTAAAATAAAATTGAACAGCATAATATTTAAAAACAGTGGAAAAACATGGTTGACCAGCATATGTTTGCATAAAGCTATTCAATGATATACATGTTTTTAACCTATCCAGTTATACAAAAGAAATAACTATCAATATTTATTTTTCATACGTTTTTTCTGTTAACTACTTCCATGTTCTCATGCTCACATCGACTCTGCCCTAGAGTGTAAGAGGTTGTGTGTTCAGCCCATGCCTGGTTTAAACCAGAGACCCTTAAATTGGTAATCGCTGCTTTCTGCAAAGCATGCAAAATTAGGAAGTAAGATGAAAGACTGGTTAACTATGAGTCAGAATCATTAGTCCATCAGGATAATATGTCCCCTTTGGACTGTAACCTTAAAGGCCAGCATGTTGAAAATCTGACTCACTGTGTCAGTCTCGTAGATAACATGGTACAAAGGTATGAATGCTAAGCAGCCACCAATCAATCAGTTACCGGTAATCAATATTTCTGTCAAGTATGTATCAGATTGTACAACTGGATTCACCAGGGATATTAATGAAATGTAAAATATCAGGACAGATAACTTATTTAATAACAAGAATAAGATACATCGCTGATGATGTTAGCCAGATGGGGTGTATCTAATTTTCACCATGATATTATGGCTAATGCCAAATGATAGCTTTCATTTATTAAGGAGGGAAAGGGGGGGGGGGTCTATCAGCAATTTGATCTTATTTTATGGTAAAGCATGATAAATGCAGCCAAATTTATTAACATTTTATAGCATCATTGTGTAATGGTTCATATGTTACACTTAGTTATAACTAGACTTATGAATGTCTCTGTATGTCTACCAAGTGCAATAACTACCAGTTCACTGTCTGTAGACAATTCATCCTGTTTTTGTTCAAAAAGTTCAGAAAGATGATTAGACTGAGATTGCTCTAAAACCTGAACACCTTTTTATTGAACTTGTTGGGATAATGGCACATCAGTACAACCTAGGACTTACAGATCATTGGCTATAATTTCTTTACACACATAAATTTTACAAAGTAAAGTAACTTTTAATCTAATCAAAATTATTTATATAACCAATAATCTAATCAAAATTATTTATATAACCAATAATCTAATCAAAATTATTTATATAACCAATAATCTAATCAAAATTATTTATATAACCAACATCTGCAAATAGTTTTCTCAAACCAAACCCAAAGGCTTCAAACCATTACCTAAATGCTTAACTGAAATGTTGAAAAATTGTTCCGATAATTCCTGTCTATAGGCAATACTTGAACACCATGTGTATGATTTCAAAGTAGTCACAGCTATACATATCCTGTCTATAGGCAATGCTTGAACACCATGTATATGATTTCAAAGCATTAATAGCTATACATATTCCTGTCTGTAAACAATGCTTGACCACTATGTGTATGATTACAAAGTAGTCACAGCTATAGCATATCCTGTCTGTAGATAATGCTTGACCCCTGTGTATATGATAACAAAGTACTCAAAGATATACATATCATGTCTGTAGACAATTCTTGACCCCCATGTGTTTAATTATGAAGTACTCACAGCTATACATATGCTGTCTGCAGCCAATACTTGACCCCCATGTGTATGATTACGAAGTACTCATTGCTACACATATCCTGTCTGTAGACAATGCTTGACCCCCATTTGGATGATTACAAAGTACTCACAGCTATAGCATATGCTGTCTGTAGAAAATGCTTGAACCCCATTTGAATGATAACAAAGTACTCAAAGCAATAGCATATCCTGTCTGTAGACAATGCTTGACCCAAATGTGTATGATTACAAAGTTATCACAGCTATACATATTTGTTTGTAGACAATGCATGACCCTTAAAGTATTTGATTACAAAGTCATCACCGCAATTAATATCATGTCTAAAGACAATGGTTGACCCCCATGTGTATGATTACAAAGTATTCACTGCTATACATATTTGTCTGTAGACAATGCTTAACCCACATGTGTATGATTACAAAGTACTCACTTCTATACATATCCTGTCTCTAGACTATGTTTCACCCTCATGTGTATGATCACAAAGTTCTCACTGCTATACATATCCTGTCTGCAGACTATGCTTGACCCCAAAGTGTATGATTACAAAGTACTCACAGCTATAGCATATCCTGTCTCTGTCTGTAGACTATGCTTGACCCCAAAGTGTATGATTACAAAATACTCACAGCTACAGCATATCCTGTCTATAGACTATGCTTTACCCTCATAAGTATGATAAAATAAAGTAATCACAGCTAAATATTCTCTGTCTGCAGTGCCTGACATGCATGTATAAATTACTTCAATCCTTAAGACAATGCCTGATTACATTGTATATGCATACAAAGTACTCACAGCTATGCATTCTCTGTCTGCAGACAGTGCTTGACCAGCCAGTATATGTCCTTGAACCAAATTATCTACATGTAGAAAGTCTTGTAAGGTTCCACCTCCATACGTCATTATCATAAGACCTTGTTCCACATAACCCTGATGAGAGCCCAAAAAATAGAAAACATTGATGATTAAATTAGTCCGACACAAATGGTACCTTTACATTGTATATCTTTGAACAATACATGAATGTTTATGATGTCTTATTTCATAGGAATGGGTTAAAATTTGCCAAAAACAATGCTAGTCAGGAAATATATTCATCTGGTAGGTTTGTTCATTTGAAGCTGCAACAACAGAATACACTAGAATATAGAAATACACAGACTTACTAGACAAAAGAAATAACTGGAATTGAAGTGTATATATGTATGTAAGCATGTCTTCTGTTTAGAACATGTGGTAGATAAATATAGAGAAAAGTAGATAATAATAAACTGATACCTCCTTTGAAAAAAAATACTGAAAAATTTCTCAAAGTTTGAAAAATATTGAAAAATTCTGAACGCCAGTGTGAAATCACACCATGCAAAGTTTGTAGCATTATTCCAAAAGCTGATTACACAAAATAGTTACCTTACTTACATTCTGATACAGACACATATCATACTCATAGTTGACTCATACATTTAAAGCAAATCTAGACAGAAAGATTTTATCTTTTTCTCCCCTCTCTGATATTAATAAAAAAAAAAAAGATTTCCAATCCCAATTTCTTCAATTACATGTTAGGATATTAAAGTTTATAAAATCATCCAGTATGATAATGAAATAATAAGCCACAGTGAAAGAACAATAGAACAGAAACAATATTGTTATATTGTTATATCTAAACATTGCACCTTACAACTGCAAATATCTTTATTGTTATCAGCAAGATTTGTACATGGTTTCTTTTTCCTGGACTCTTATTACAAGTGTTGTTTTTAGAAAAAGTCAATATAGATGAAAATAATGGCCTAATAATCAAAAAGACCTTTTCGGTTAGGGGCCAAATTGAACTATCTTTTAAGGTAGAAAAAAAATCTTTCTACATTCTCTTGTTGTTTCATATTTACTTAATAATCTAATTTTTAATAATTTCAACACTCTTTATTAGCTGGAATAAAAAAATATCAATTGTAAACTATAATAATCTTAATTATTTCTATCAAAAGTCCACCGATATATATAAACCACACTAATTGATTAGTATAATCTCAGCCTATCTAAAATTTTGCTGTCTGCAAATTCAAAACACAATTTGCAGATTAAAAAAAAATCTTTTGGGATGAAAATTTATGATCAAACTTTGTAGATGTCAGTTTTCATTACACATTTGATCTATCTCCTAGAAAATAGTTTTAAAATGAAACAAGATTTCTTGATCATCCAAGTTTTTTTTCAACAAAAAGTTAAAATTAGATTATTTTATTATACTAAAGAGTGTAGTGATGTTGGAGGTATTCCTATCAAGTAAACAAAGCCTCCAGGTTTTGGTTTCCATTTAATTTTCCAAATCAATAACAAGTTTGACTCAATGAATCAAAATTCTGTAAAAAAAATGCTATTCTGCAAATAAGTCTGTCAATCATACATCAAATATTATTTGGATATTTAGAAAGTTAAATATTGAAGATTACAAACACAACTCTATCTGGAAACCACGTTTTTGCACTAGTTTTGGTCTATTTTTTTTGTTTAAATCGTTGAAAAAGTTTATAACATACTTACTACAACGGACACCAAGTATTGGCAAAAGTCCATCTAGCCCAAAGGTGAGCTTAAAAACCTTTAAATGTCAGAAAAGAAATCTGATATGTTTGGATCTCTAATTTTATCTCTCAAAATTTTATTTGTAATTATACACCTCATTCATTATTTAATGACATCAATATGACAGCTTCATTATAAAGGGGAAATTGGAGATTATTTTGGTTGACAGAGAAATTGAGTACCTGATATAAAAACTCGTGTTTATTACTTTATTCTAATTTCTAAGAAAGCATCAACAGTATAACATTGATGGTCTTTGTAAGTTTTTGGTCCATTTTCTCAAATATTCAATAACTGATTTATAGTGTTTAGATATAAAATTCTATCCCTATATTAGTAATACAAACTTATAAAATGGATCAAAGACACAAATGTCCAACTGGACATAAACTTTCTCAAACAATGGAGAATGGTCTTTAATAACCATTTTATAATAAGGAAATGTAAAAAAGGGGGAATTTCTTAAACAATTCCATAACAGTAGGAGATTAACTTCAATATGTGTGTAACTTTTCTGTGAAGTTTCATGGGCCTGAGTTGAAAACTGAAGACAAGTTGGTTAAACATAATAATAAACTGTTAACACAGAGATATGTCTCGCCTATTTGTTATTTTGATAATGCAAATGTTGAAATTAAAATAGCAATACTTTAACATGTAAGTTATGCAAATATTCAAAGTCAATGAACCATGACTGAAGGTACAGGGCTAAACAATCTCCATGGAAATGAGATGTGCCAATGCTAATACAACTGCAAACCAAATACCATTGACTTTTCATAAGTCGTTCCCTTTAAACAAACCTAAACACAAACATTAACTTGTAAACTATGTAAAAGTTTCAAAGTCAATGAACCATAATTAGGGGGTGAGGTTATATAATCTCTATAGAAATGAAACTTGAAAATGCCAATACATTTGCATACCGAATATCATTGACTTAACATTAGTGGTTCATCTTAAACTGACCTAATCACAAACTAATACATGTAAACTAGGCAAAAGTTTCAAAGCCAATAGACCATGATTGAGGGGTAAGGACCAAATATTCTCCATGGAAATAAGAGGTGGTAATGCTTATACAACTGCATACCAATTATCATTGACCTACCACTAATAGTTCCCCTTAAACTGACCTAATCACAAACTAATTCATGAAAACTAAGCAAAAGTTTCAAAGTCAATAGACCATGAATGAGGGGGAGGGGCCAAATAATCTCCATGGAAATGAGATATGCCAATGCTTATACAACTGCATACCAAATATCATTGACCTACCACTAGTGGTTCCCCATAAACTGACCTAAGCACAAACTAATACATGTAAACTAAGCAAAGTTTCAAAGTCAATAGACCTTGACTGAGAAGGCGGGGCCATATTATCTTCATGGTAACGAGATGTGCCAATGCTAATACAACTGCATACCATATATCATTGACCTACCACTAGTGGTTCCCCATAAACTGACCTAATCACAAACTAATACATGTAAACTAAGTAAAGTTTCATAGTTAATAGACCTTGACTGAGGGGGCAGGGTTAAATAATCTCCATGGTAATGAGATGTGCCAATGCTAATACAACTGCATACCAAATATCATTGACTTACCACTAGTGGTTCACCATGAACTAGATCTAATCACAAACTAATACATTGTTGACGCCGCCGTCGCCGCCGCTGCCACCTCCGAAGCCCGAAACAGCATACCTATGTCTCGCTTTTTGACTCCGTCAAGGCGAAACAAAAATCATTTTTTGTAAATTTTTGCTGAAAAATTACAATTTAAGTCTTTAAAAAGAAGAAATTTGCTTTCTAACAATTCTATCATAGCAGGCACAGTGTTCAAAATAAGGTAAATAACCACTTGTCCCCACCCTCCTGACACCACCAGTGATTCTAACACAGTTTCTAAGTAGATAACCACTTTTCCCCACCCTTCTGACATCACCAGTGATTCTAACACAGTTTCTAAGTAGATAACCACTTTTCCCCACCCTTCTTACATCACCAGTGATTCTAACACAGTTTCTAAGTAGATAACCACTTTTCCCCACTCTCCTGACATCACCAGTGATTCTAACACAGTTTCTAAGTAGATAACCACTTTTCCCCACCCTTCTGACATCATCAGTGATTCTAACACAGTTTCTAAGTAGATAACCACTTTTCCCCACCCTCCTGACATCACCAGTGATTCTAACACAGTTTCTAAGTAGATAACCACTTTTCCCCACCCTTCTGACATCACTAGTGATTCTAACACAGTTTCTAAGTAGATAACCACTTTTCCCCACCCTTCTGACATCACCAGTGATTCTAACACAGTTTCTAAGTAGATAACCACTTTTCCCCCACCCTCCTGACATCACCAGTGATTCTCTAACACAGTTTCTAAGTAGATAACCACTTTTCCCCACCCTTCTGACATCACCAGTGATTCTAACACAGTTTCTAAGTAGATAACCACTTTTCCCCCACCCTCCTGACATCACCAGTGATTCTCTAACACAGTTTCTAAGTAGATAACCACTTTTCCCCACCCTCCTGACATCACCAGTGATTCTAACACAGTTTCTAAGTAGATAACCACTTTTCCCCACCCTCCTGACATCACCAGTGATTCTCTTACACAGTTTCTAAGTAGATAACCACTTTCCCCACCCTCCTGACATCACCAGTGATTCTAACACAGTTTCTAAAAGCCAACTCAAAGAACTCAACATGCTGATGTAATGATGTAGTAATCTTGCCATCCTACCCTCCAGTACTTTCAACTGTACTTCTGAGTAGATTTCATAAAGCAACAACATAAACAAGACTGGATGTGAAACTGACTTATTTAAAGAAATATTTGAGTGAAGTTGTATCTATTTAGTAATGAACCTTGTTCCAATGATGTTCTAATGTTATTCAATTTATCTGTTAGTCTGCCAGTATGAGATTCAATATGTAAAAATTGCAAACTGACTTACAGTATTATTAATCATGATTAGGTCTTTCCACTTTAACGTGGAAAGACCTATTGATTTTGTTCTGATTATTAGGTCTTTCCACTTTTCCGTGGAAAGACCTATTAATTTTGTTTTGATTGTTAGGTCTTTCCACTTTTCCGTGGAAAGACCTATTAATTTTGTTTTGATTGTTAGGTCTTTCCACTTTTCTGTGGAAAGACCTATTGGTTTTCTTCTTCTGATTATTATTATTTTTTTCTTCTTCTGCCACTTTTTTCTGACGGTGCTTTTTTTTGTTTCGCAAGATGTCGCTTAGATTTTTTGTGTATGATATCGAACAGTTATTGCGATTTTGAAACTGACCCTGTTTAGCTGAATACTTTTTATT